AAAAAAAAAAAAAAGAATCGAGATGCATATCCCTAAGTTTTGCTTGAAACATCTCATCTTCACATCGCAAGCACCGTTCGCCAGCGTAGCACGACTAGCCATATGACCTACTGAGATGCACCAGCTCATTTTTACAAGCGCGTTCTACACTCTTCAAGTCTGAGCTGAGGTACTTTTAATTCAGCGATTTGTGTTGTTCAGGTAGATGATTTCAAAATGCGTGGGGAGAAGCCATACACGAGCAGCGCTGTGCTGGGCGACAAAAAGCAGAAGACGAATACTGTATGTTGTAAAGAGTCGACTGCAGGGGGCGCTTGTAAAAATGAGCCATCGGGCCACAGCCAACGAAATTCTGCTGAAAAAGTCCTTGCACACTTTCCACCTCCGGTGATGGAGGGCTCGAGTAGCGAAATGTTCAGCGAATATCTAGTTGACGATTCAATGGCCAGTGCGACAAGCGTTCTCAAAAACCGGTAAGGTTTTGTTCATTCCATGTGTTGTGCCAAATTTGCTTACAGTAAAGGCGATGAATGCGTGGCACTGCTTTTGCCTGGCTTGAAAGGATTTTGTTTTTATGCGTTTTTTGCAGCAATGCAATGTGAAAAACGCATATTGACGAGAGGTTGTCTGTGTGTGTGTGTGTGTTCGGAAACGAGTGAACTTTGTCACCCACTTCCATCCCAGTAGCCAGAAAGCTGGGAGACTGAAATTTTGGTTATATGTTCCTCCCTCGTGTGTCATCCTCCCTTAAAATTTTCGCTTATACGCGCCTAGACCGCGCGTACAGTCCTCAGAAAAAAGTATGCAGATTTCTTTGGCGGGAAACGATTTCGCGAACCAGGCAAGATAAAAAGCTGAAACTTTGAAGGGAAAATTTATGTGCTTGGTGAGCTAAAGATTTCAAATTCAGCTCTCGCACGTACTTGTGCAGCGCGTACGATCACGTCGAAGTTTACAACATGGTACTGTGCTAACTCGAAAATTTGCCGGAAAACAATGGCTGGAATTTTATTAGCATATTTGTCATTCATATCGGAAATCGTATACCTAAAATGAGTACTGATTTGCACTTGCGCCGCGACTTAGGGCATTTCAAAGATATTCGTAGTGAAGTAGCTGTTTCACTTACCGGATAAGATGCGAGGCTGAAACTTCGCTGGGATATTCTACTTTCAAGTGCGGTCTCACTTCTGTTTGGAAGTGAAATTCCCTGCAGGTGGGCACGAGAAATGCTCAAATTTACCGAAAAATTAGAAACGAGTGCATTTTGCAGCGAACGACCGCCCGTACCCTCTCTAAATATATAAATGAGCTCATTTAAATATTCGGGTTTTTTGACGAACGATCGCTCTGACAACATTTTCATTTTTCAGTGAAATGAAAATTTGCATTATTTCGAAAAGCGAATATTTACCAAAAAAACGACCGGGTTTCATAAAATAAAACTGATAATCATGTACCTGGAGGTCCATGCGGCCCTATAATGCAACGCTTTCATCGCAACCGACGCCCTTTCTCCTGGATGCCGTAAGAGGCTAATGGACGGCCTTAGGCTACAGCGCAGGGACCATTCCTGCTATTGGCGATCTGCGAATTTAGTGCAAAAACGCATGATCGCACCGGCAAGCCTGGCGCGTTCTAGCCTGGATTATTCATAGGTACCGATTCTCTGCTTCCGTTTTTTATGCGCTTTTTGCAGCTATGCAATGCAGAAAACACATATTGACGAGGGGTTGTCTGTGTGTCCGTGTGTGCGTCTGTCACGTTTTTTCATTTCGAGACCTACAAAAGCTACAGGGCTGAAACTCTGGGAGCTTAATCTACATGCACGTGCGGGCCCCAATCCCCAAAATGGGGGCCATTACAAGCGTGGTACCCACGTAAGAGCCCGCCAAAGTTTTTTACGCGTAAGCTGCTAACTCGGGAACCAAAAGCGCTTGGGGGCTGAAATTTTAAGGGGATGTTCCCCATCCAAGTAGGTATTAATGAGCTCAAACCCAGCCCCCGGGTAAGCGTAGTACCCACGTACGGGCCCGCCAAAATTTTTTTCGGGTAAATCAGTAAGTCGGGAATCTGAGAAGCTAGAAGGCTGAAGTCTTAAGGGGATGTTCCCCGTCCAAGTGGGTATTAATGAGCTCAAACCCAGACCCCGGGTATGCGTGATACCCGGGTACTAGCTCGCCAAAATTTTTCCGGGTAAGTTCATAACTCGGGGACCTGAGATGCCAGAACGCTGAAATCTTAGGGGGATATTCTCCGTCCAAGTAGGTATTAATGAGGGTATGCGTGGTACCCACGTGCGGGTTCGCGAAAGTCTCCTTCGAGTAAGTCGCTAACTCGGGAGCCAGGAAAGCTAGAAAGTTGAAATTTCAAGGGGTTGCTTCCTGACAGTTCTGGCGGTCAGTCTTTATTTGTTTAGCTAGAAGCGTTTGCCGGAAAAACCGGTGCCGGTAGCAACAAAAACTGCTGGGAACTATGAAAAAAACACGTCCGCACAGGGAGCTCGTGCGTTGGCCAATTATTATGCGTTTTATGCTGTGTAACAGCAGTACAAAGCGCATATTGTCACGGGGTTGTCTGTGTGTGTGTGTCCGCAGCAACTTGTCCGCAGCTTTCAACTCGGGAACCACAAAAGCTAGGAAGTGAAAATTTAGTGGAACGTTCCCCACCCACGTGTGACCCCCCAAATTTAAATTCAGCTTCCCTGTACCCGCGGGTAACGCGTACAGCCCCGTGAAAGTTTTTTACGGGTAAGTTAATATCTCAGGAACCACGGAGTGTAGGAGACTGAAATTTCAGGGTAATGACCCCCTGCCCACGCTCAACCTTGCCCATTCAAGTTCAGCGTTCCCGCGCTGCCGGTATCATCTACGGGCTAGTGAAAGTTTTTACGGGTAAATTATTAATTCAGGAATTAGGGAAGGATATTTACCCTCCAAGGTTTCGAATTCAGCTTTCATGCGCTAGTGCGTGAAATTTTTGACTGTTTTCCAATGTTTGAGCTATTTTTGCATAGATTAAAGTTCAAAGGAGTGAAAATCATTAATAGGCAATTGTTCGATGGTCTGAATTGCACAAAACGCATGATCGCGCCGGCTAGTCTGGTGCGCGTTGCTATTTATTTATTTTTTTTTTTATGCGTTTTGTGCTGTGTAACAGCAGTACAAAACGCATATTGTTACGGGGTTGTC